GTCCAACATCGGTTCAAAGCTGTCCAAAACCGGTTCAAAACAGCTCGAAAGCGGTTCATAAGCGGTTCAGAGGCGGTCCAAAGGCGGTTCAAAGCAGTTCATAAGCGGTTCAGAGGTGGTTCATAGCGATCCAATATCGGTTCAAAGCAGTTCGAAAGCGGTTCAGAGATGGTTCAAAGCAGTTCGAAAGCGGTTCAAAGCAGTTCGAAAGCGGTCCAACGGCTTTTTCAACTGATCCAAGGGCTCTACCTATCTGATCTAACGGCTTTGCCAACTGTTCCAGCGGGGTTTGCTAACTGACCTAAAGGAGGTGTGATCCTTTTAATTCCCATAGCTCGCTTTTCCGTAAAGGCATAAAGGGGTTCAGAACAGAGGACAGAAACCATTTGGTGTTGTGTTGGGGTTCAGAACAGAGGACAGAAGCCATTTGGTGTTGTGTTGTCGAGAAGAGCAGCCCTTCAACGATGTCTAAAGCGTGTAATTGGGGAAGACCTTGTAACTGTAGCGACTGTCGACCTGAGCTAAAGGAAAAATGTGAAATTTGCTGCGAAAAAGAAGGATACCGCGTTGGAAGTACTTTAAGAAAAGACAGAAAGGGGATAAAGTGCTATGACTTTGAAACTTGTTGTCAACAATGCTATCAGGAAAATTATGGGGAGAGAGAAGAACGAATCTTTAACATGATGCTGCAAATTCTCGAGGATTCGATTAAAAATCCTCCCAAAAAGCCTCAACCTGACCCTGTCTACGTTACCGAGCGAAAAGAAATTAAAGAGGTGTTGTGCAGATTATTCGGAAAAGAACTGTATATGTGTGAAGATGATAGATGTCGACGCAGAATACCGCAAATTCTTGATAAACTTAAAGTGAAGATTGTTTGGGAAAACAAGAACGGCGGGAAATTTGAATATGAAAGTGACGAAATTGGATACGATCATACGACTGGCTGGTTTGAACAGTATATTTTACCTGAGATAATAAAGAAAATATCGGGACCTATTTGGGTTAAAACATTGCAAATTTCCCCTACATATAGATTACCTAAGGTCGTATATGTAACAAAGGGCTAAGTTCTCCGTAGATAATGGTATAGAAAACATTTATAGTGAGGCTGATAATTTTTGCAAGAGACTACACTTCAAATTAATCTACGAAACTGTTAAAGTCGCTAAAGGTTGGTAATCCTATATACCTTGAAGATCTATTAGGAGAACCTATAATGGGTCACTTCGATGCTGAAGAAATGTAGAAAACAGCTCATCCGAGAAAGTTTTAAGGCGTAAAGGAGACAGTTAGTCGTTTACTGTAGCAATACTGATATCAATTAAGTAGCTCCGTACATTAGAAGAATATGTAAACGAATTGAAGAAATGGTAATATCGAGATATAAGCGATGAAGAAGAAAGTGTGGAACGGAATAAAAGAAAGAGTAATGTGAAGAAGAAAATCAGAAGGAAGAAAAAAGAGCTGTACAATAGCAAGTTTTGCTTAAAAAGCTCGTTCTCAGACTCGTTTGTATGGTTTGACACAATGAAACAAAAAAATAAAATTTACATCTTGCGAGCTTGGTCCTATGCTTACAGAGAAGCAAGAAAGGGTCCGTGGGAAACTGTCGCATTAGATAGGTACCGCTTCAAATGTAAAATAGAACGCATTGCAGCTGTTTTAGAGCCCATATTATGTAATCGTATTAAGATGTATCAATTGCAATAAATTATATGAGTATTATAAATAAGTATAATAAACGTTAGATAAAGCGCAACAACAAAGTGAGCGTATATGATAGTAGCAACATGCTTCTAATTTACGTAAAGCTGGTTCTTCTTCCACCTCGGTGACATTTTGCGATAGAGTTTTTTTCGAATGAAATCGGCTTTTTCTTTTCCTTTAACGTATACTTGGTCTGATGATGATATTAACTGGCGAAGTATAATTGGAAACATGTAGGATGGCGTATGACCATGCTCCCATTTAATTCCGCGATGGTTATGGATTAGCCAGGTAGCTTGACGTTGTAAGCCATCTGCTTTCCATTATAAATATTGCAAGCTCTTTCGGTAAATTCGTTTCTTGTTTTAAAGACTTGTACATCGATTTCCCTTGACATTATGTCGTCGAAGGAAGACTGAATATTGATTTCCAAAATAACAACATGCATACTTGTCTGGCGAGCGCTTTTACGCAAATACCTACTATTCAAATATTTATTCAGTATAAAGCGGTCACATCATCCAATGCAATTTTATAGATAACGCGCTTCTTCGGTTCTATTGTTATCAATATGACACCTTTGACTTAAACGCCTACAAGTTCTAACGGTTTCCTGTTAGTCTTGCACCTATATATCCTCAAGTCTAACTATCATGTCCCGCAAAATTTCTAGAAAGAATTTATGCTTTTCCTATTAAAACAATGCAACTATATAGGTGTCCTTGAGTCGTAATCTTAAGCTACGCTTTACGAAATTATCAATGGCGGCAGCTCGTGAGTAAATAGAATATATAGGTATCGTTAAACTTTAGTTATAGCAAATTTTAAAATCTACTCATCTCCAGGGCATAACGATAGTCGATGTAGTGAAACAGCCGGCTTTTGAATAGGTCGAGGTAATACTCAAAAGGTATATGGAATTGGTCAATGAAACGAAAAGTATTCAAGTTTATCGTATCACCTTCAAAGTAGACCTCCTTCTAAAATAATACACTACCTACGAGCATACTAATTTTTGAAGGTCTTCAGACTTCGGGAACCCTCCGCAACGTACGCATTTTCAAAACTAATAGGATGCTTTGATCGATAATAATACAAATCTATCAGCGGCATGTACCAAATGTTTTACCTATATAATATCACGTTCTATAGAGGTATGGCGATATTGAATATAATGAGTGAAGGATGTAAATTTTTATTGTATGTTTATCTGCATACCCCTTTGTACCGAACTTCCTATGACATCGTTTGTCATAGCTGTGCAATCTGTACAGGTTTCCTATCTAAATGGATAGCAATAAATAAAACTCCTCCTCGAAACCGTTCGATAGTCAGTTGCGAAGAAAATGGAGGGTAAGAATGACCTCTTTTCTATTTTTCATCAAACTTAATGTATGTAATTTTTCAGCTCAAGGTGCGGCCATCATCTTTGGCCCATTGCAGACGGCCTATGGTAAATACGCCACATATCTATCACACGTTTAACCATATATTTGTAGAACGAGAACTACGAGCATTAATTCAAACAGAAATATGCATCTGTAAGTACTTTTCATGCATCATACCGTATTTTAATTAGCTCTTATTTAGGAAAATGTTGCTATTTTACGGGGTCGGGGGGTAATCCCCGACTCCGTAAAGATAGAAGGAAGGTATATCACATCAGGAGGTTCCAGGTCTATAAAGACCTGGAACTACAAAACACGTACTGGGTGTTTTATGTAAGTGTTATCGTTTCAATTATAATGTTTACTTCAATGAATTTTTTTTTCCAGAACTAATAAACCCGCATTAAATTTTGTTTTGTTTTACTTATCCACTCCATTCTGACTAAGCCCTTACCTAAAATAATAAGATGTAGTGATTAGGGTATTATCATTTCTTCCGTAAAACAAGTGTTCAGACACCTCCTCCCACCCAGCACGCGAAGGTAGAGCGCCTACTTAGAAATATGTATTATGGTAAACAAGATTATAGGTTAGAAAGGGGCCCTCTTACCACTTGTTGACAGTGAATACGGCAGGCATTCATACGTCTAAAGCTCTCTGCAGACGGGGACAACAGTGGCGTCCAGTAGTACTAGCCATTAATGGAGGCCAGTAATTATCCCTCTATTGTCCTCGTGTGCAAGGGTATTGCCGCTCCAACGTCCAGTAAGCTACTGGCGGCCACCAAAGTCAAACAGGTTTGAGTTTAGTGGACGCTGGGAGGGCTAGTTCGGGTCACGTGACCTAGTGGCTGTCATTATTGGACGTTGCTAAATGGGTACTGGCTGACAGTGCGTCGCCGGACTCTGCTGGGAGAGGAACTAATTCAGTGTTTTTGTTGCGAAATGTGTTCCAAACCTGAGGAAGTGAAGACGAGACCAAATGGGAGTGTGAAATGAGTGCGGACCATATAAATACATTTTTAGACATTTACGTAAATTACGAACTGCTATGGAACGTCCGTAATGCTGATTATACCAACAAGACGAAGAGGGAGAGTGCAATAATGAAGTTATTAAATGAATTAATAGAGGTAGGGGTTGCAGTGCCCGACTTGAGTTTTTTGAGAGCTCGTATAAAGGCAATAAAGGCCACATATCGGAGTGAACTCCTGAAAGTGAATGAATCCAAAAAAAGTGGAGCTGGTACTGACGATGTCTACGTCCCGAAATTACCCTGGTTCAGTGCAGCAGACAGTGTCTTAAGAGATGTGGTGATAACGAGAAAGTCAACATCGAATTTGGTAAGTTTGATTTAATTACTAATCAAATAAATAGTTGTACGTTTCCAAATTTACGATCAAATGGTAAATAAACAAGTAAGCTACATTTTAAGGTTACATGCCAATGGCCTTCATCTGCCAAGAAACTTGTCCTGCTCCGCTGAAGTGCTCAGCCAGTTTTGTCCTTGTTCCCGAAGCTTTTTTCGAATATGTGTTTGTCGAGCGAGCTCTTCTCAGTGATGGTAGTTCTGTTCCAGTCGAACGCCACTGCCCGGGATGAAGAACTCCTGTGTCAGTGTCTTCATGGTCAATCCATCCCCTTTCAAAATACGTTCCTGGCGAAGTTGTTCGCAACCAATTGTGGATAGTACATGTACATTGTACAATCAAATCGACAGTTTCTACATCCACTTCGATGTCTTTTCCAAATATTCTAAATCTTGCTGCCATTATTCCAAACGCATTTTCCACTACTCTTCGTGCACGCGATAAACGGTAGTTGTATATACGTTCCATTAGTGTCAAATTTCTTTTCGAAAAAGGCTTCATTAAGTTTGGTGATAAAGGGAACGCGTCATCACCCAAAATTAAATAGGTAGTCTTTAGGTAAATTTAGCTTTTCATTGTCCATGGCTGATTTCAATGAGGACAATCGGAATACACTTGCGTCATTGGCTCTTCCATTGGTTCCCACGTCTATGTACAAAAATTTACAATCTGCATCTACCAATGCCAAAAGTATTATGCTGTAGCCTCCTTTGTAATTATAGAACTCGGAGGAACTCCCAGGCGGTCGTTTTATGGCTACATGCTTTCCGTCAATCGCTCCACAACATGAAGGAAAATTCCATTTTATTTCAAAATTCCTTTGTATGTCTAACCATTCTTTCGATGTTTGAGGCACCTAAAAAAATTATCCAAGTCACAATTTTTTCAATTTACATTTATTGGCAATGTTACAAAGTAAAATGTGCATAGAGTATTGTGATTTCGGTAAATTATTCGTTGTCTTATATTTTCAGGTTGAACCAGCTTCCAGCACTAAAGTTGGTCAGCTACCCGCGCACACTAACGAAGTTGGGACGGAAGAAGTAATTGAAGAATCTGAAATGGATCTAACTGAACACAACGTCGACAATCCGAAGGGAGAATTAGGCACATCACAATCCCAAGTTATGTCACACTTCCAAACCCCAGTCACAAAAAAACGCCGTATAAGCAAATTATCAAAAGTTGAGAGTGCAATTGACAAACTACAAAAAATATCTGAGAGTCGTTCGCCAGTGCCAATCAAAGCCCCATCCCACGAGGTTGATGTATTTGGAGCGTATGTAGCTGCTCAGTTAAGGGACCTTCCCATGAGGAACAGACTAAGTTGCCAAGACAAAATTCAAACTATGCTAACCAAAGAGAGGTTGAAATTGTTGGATCCCCCACGACCTCCACCTTCTCCGATGCTATCTGGAACCTCGTCCTACGGCTGTGATTCTGATGATGATGTTGAAACTCCTCGATTTATATCTGAAGGAGATTTACTCTACAGACAATTACACTGAATGGACATTTTCTGAAGAGCTAATTAGTATTTTTTCTGATTACAGAAACTTTATAATTTGCATTTTCTTTAATAATAAACTGTATTAAATAAAGTGTTGATTTTATTTTGTTAATCCCTTTTAAATGATTAGCACAAGTCCTAGCATTGTCTTCCCTGTACAATATAATACAGGCCTAATATTTTTAGGAAAATACAAGAAACCTTTTTAACAAGGAAACTGGCATTCTCTTGATTTCAGGCAATAGGAAAATATAACTGTTAAGGTATGTCTCATGGCGTGATCGAAGTATAAAATGGTTAAATACAACCACAAAATATTGTTAAATTTAAAAACTTCCTAAGCGCAAGTTGCTGCGATGGGCTTTTACAACTACAAATTTACAAGTTATCCCTACCAAGCAATAAGTTATGAACACTTACCTTCATATATTCTTGTAATGATGTTGTTATTGCTGTAAGTACTTCTGGCATAAAACTAGAAATAGTGTTTGCTGGTATTCGAAACATGATTGCTAGAGTTTGGTAACTGTCACCACTAGCCAAAAATCTTAAGGCAATCTCTAGTTTTGGACGGGCAGGAATTGCGTTTCTCATTAGCGTATCCTTTTTTTTAAATTTTAGGTTCAATTAGATTTAAAAGTTCGTTAAATTGTCCCACACTCATTCTTAAAATTCTCTTGAATTCCAGAGGATCCTCCTCGGCAAGTTCCCGAAATATTGTTGACGAAGCTCCGAGGCGATCTCTACGACCCACTCAGTCTTTCACCCAGCACGCCCTGTTTTTGGTTAATATTTCTTTCAGTTCATCACTTAAACAATGGACAGTTTCACTTATAGCTTCATCAACACCTTTCTCGTATTCTTCGTCAACCTCCTCCATGTTCAGACACATCATATTGACAATAATTAAATTACAGTAATGTAATAAGGTTACCCGAAACGTCACCACATCCACACAGCACAGACTAATGGCAGCCATTAAAGTACATAATACTGGAAGCCAATACTGCCCTCATGTGGAAGCCTACTGTTCAGCCAGTTCACTGGCTGCCACTTCTGGCCGCTAGTACTGGACGCCACTATTGTCCCCGTCTGCAGGGAGCTTAAGTGTATTATGTTCAATAGGTGATCATGTCCAGTATTATGACACTGACTCTATAATCTATATATCAGCGGAAGGACAACCCAATCCGCTAACAGGTAAATATTTAGGCAACTTAACGGCTGAATTAGAAGCTGAAGGTTCTGAGAGTTGGATTGAAGAAGAATTCGTGTCAGGTGGTTCAAAGGATTATACCTGCGGCGGATTTCCCTATACGCCAACTACGCCCTGGCGTTTGGCGGCGTACGGACGGTGGCGGCACCGAGTACACTTGACGCGACAACAGCTGTATGTCGGGTGCCGGCTATGGGCTACTTCAGCTACTTGAGATGTACCGAGAATTGATTATACCTACTCTTTTTCGTGGTTCGATTATTCGACTATTAAAAAGGTAGGCCTATTAGTTATTTTTTTATACACCCTGTGTAGAGAAATATCTAATGGGGAATCCTATAACGAGGCCGTAAACATCTCCAATAAATTGCATTATTTCTAGTGTGAATTTATTGCCTCCTGGGTGGTCATGGAAAGAGGTCTAACCAATAATAATTTAACCAAAGCTATACAAGGTAGATCGATAATTCGGTAACTATTGTTCCTCTTCTAGAATATACGCAGCTAAATGTCCATTTTACTATTTAACAATTACGTAATTATGCTATAATTGGGGATTTAATTTACGATTCAGGGTGATTAGACATAGGTACAATTTTCAGCAGGTATATATTCAGCTTCAGCATTCACCAAAAGTTCCATCCATAATCCCCTGTCACAGAGAGGGACCATATCCATATTACAATCACCCTAAGTTTATGGGTACGGTATTCATTTGATTGAATGATTCATTAAAAATTAAAAGTGCCACTTATTTAAAATACTTAGGTTATACCGGGTGAATCATTAGAACTGATGTCAGTTTGAATTTCGCGCGTACAATTCTAGTGTTTTTTACGGGATAGAATTGGCGATGATATATTTTTAGTTATTTTACTAATTCTTATTAGTCACCAGTGCCGTCGTTATTTCGTTAATTTGTTGTTGTTTTTAATTTACTTTTCCAATCTGTATTATCAAACAGTTTCTTCCAAAACTAAATTCAAGAATTGTTGAAGTAAGTAATTAAATAACGGTTAAATTAGACTAATGTGCATTTGTAGGTTAAAAATCCCCTTCTTGAGATCCTCCAGTCCTGTTGAGAGCAGTTTATGGAAGGAAGAGTGTCCCGATCTTATTATTTCTTATAAAGCATTTGCCAATCATAAGAAACGAATCGTTGATCGATTTGAAAACAAGAATTGCATTTGCAAAGAAGAAAAAACAGGTCATCCATTACTAAGAAACGATGAAGTGGTCGAAGACAAAGAACTACTAACTTTATTTTCGAATTACAGGAGTGTCTTATGCAACATGCCAACGAATTTTCCATAAAGATCTACGAATACATACACCCGTACCGGGTTTCTGTTCTACAGCAACTGCCACGCTCTTGATTATGAGAATCGACGTAATTATTGTGATTGATTTAATAACAACGACTTATTTGTAAATCTCTCTCCTTGGAGAGTGATTCTACATTCACCACTGGAATTAGGCAAATGATAATCTATTATTACCAACCTTTAAAAATTTTTGTTTTGCGGGAAATTCAAACTGTCATCAGTTCTAATGAATCACCCGGTACTTACATTATAGATTTTACATACCTAAGTGTCATTAATTGCGAGTGAAGCGATCGAAAAAAATTTTCGTCCTATTTGGTAAGCTTGAAATAGGCGGTAAATTGCATCTGGCGTAGAACGCAAATGTGTAAATCCGCCGCTGGATTATACTTATAGATATTAAATTAAGAAGCTCACCTTATAATCAATATTATCGTTATATAAATGTAGATCCGAGAAAAATTGATTTAACTGAATACCAAACAAATTGATGTAATACATAATATTTCACAATGTTATCGCATTTATTTATCACAACTGTATTATCCTCTACTCCTGATCAATAAATGTAAAGTATAGATATTAATAATAATAATAAATCCGAACGCCGTTTAACCACGATGATGAAGACAATCCTCCATTGGAGTTTGATATCGTCTAAAAAGGTATCAATGTAGGTTTTTTATTACAAAATAATTTTGATACTTACGGTCCAACTCTGATGTAGACTATGTTTTCTGCTGTCGGCTTATTACTTATAAACGCCCATATAAAATAATCGCCGAATAAATACAATAAAATGTCACGCTTTTCATAAAACTGCAAATTATGCGCGCAAGGACACGTATCCCTAAGAAAAGTAAATTATAAGCAACTAAAAATTGAAAAAAGGCTTACCTGAGGTATATAAGCAGCCACCTGTCTATATACCCACATACACACTTATTGAAATCGGATTGCGGATGCACGCCGTTTTTAAATACTGCGGAACGTCGAATTTATAATTATATAGAACGTACTTCGCCGTAAAGATATACACATTTCCTATTTCCATCATATTTCCCACCTTTTTAAGGGAGATTTTCGAACTTTACGCATTCATACACAATAAATACCCGTATATAGGTGTCGGTATGGAAATGAAATGGGATAAACTACCATATCAAATTCGCGAGCACTCACTGCTATAAGTAAACACTATCGCAAGATTGAAACTTCCCATACCAATTATTAGAATCATGAAATCTGCGAACTCTGTTCTCTTTGAGGATAGCTTCTACGTCTTACTACAAAAACCAGGGGGGGCTGCCCTAGACCCTAAGAGCTACTATATAAAACTAGGGGTAGTTCCTTGGGGATAGGATTAGGGGTTAGCTCCCCCACCCGATAGCGGAAGCTATCGCTCCTACGAAATAGCTCACATCGGTATCTACAGCTCCTGACGCTGATGCTATAATTAAATACTATCGAATTATTGCGAGATTGCAGCATCCTCTCCCATAACCGCGGTTATTTTTTCTCTAACTGATAACGCATTTACATCCGTGCTTATTTAGCTGCAAATGTCGAGTGAGTAACATCTTCATATTGCTTTCGCAACTTAATAGTTATTATTTTAGATCAAGAAATGTGCAATCATTTTTGCGAGGAGTCGAGGTAAACCTGCATGTATATTACTATACGTTTTAACCGTATATTTGTAGAACAAGAAACTACTATTATTTTCGGCGGGATAAACCCAGCGAGGTATAAAACCACCATGTATTACGTTTTAATTATATACCTATGTGTAGAACGGAGCGGGGGATTTCCAATTATGAATAACAATGCTGTCATTAAAAAATGGGCGTTGCTGTCGTCGAGGCTCTCTTCGCCACAAATTTTATGTAACTATGTAAGTAAGCGCTTTAATTATAATAATAAACTTCAAATCGATATTTCAGATCTAAATAAAAACACTCTACATTTTGTTGTTGTTGTTTTATTTCCCTACCCGCCCCTGTTCTGGTTGTAGGTTAGAATGGGGCCCCCTTGTGTATGTCTCTCAAATGGGGGAGCTACCTCCGAGATGGAATGATAGGTTAGAATTCTCCTCCCTTGCATCTCTCTCCTGAACCCTCGTATCTAACCGTTTGATGTCTCATCAATGCCGGGGCGCCGGTTGAAATTATACTTTCCTATACCTATACGAATCCTAATAGATGGCGACTCCGTTCCGTTAAAATAGGTTCGATATAAATACAACTATCCAAGCATTATACCATAATAGTCTAATTAGCTCAGCGGTTATGCTATAGGACTTGTAATCCAATGGTTGACGGTTCGAATCCGTTCCATTTAAAAAAAAATTTTCAGGGTACGAAGGGGTCGAAGTTTGAGGATTCCAAGATGGCGTCTAAGAACTTGAGGCTTCCAAGAACTTGAGGATTCCAAGATGGCGTCCAAGAACTTGAGGATTTCAAAGGGTAAGCCCTTTGAATAGCAGAAATCTATCTGCTTCTTTTTTGCCTCGTCAATGTCCGCAGGAGTTTTCACATGAACCAGTAGAGCATCACGTGCTTCAGAAATTGAGGGTTTCCAGCAGATTTTTGTTTTTTGTTTGGCTCGTCCGCGACATTGAGTTAGAAAACTAATGGAGGGAATCAAATGCTTGGCCAGGCGTAGACCACGGGAACCAAAAGTGGCCTCTAGCTGTGATTAAAGTACCACACCACTTCCGTTATCATTAGCGTCTCACTTCAGTGGCGTAGAGATATAATTTTCTTTCCACTAATAGGAATAATAACAAAAAAATGTATAGAAGGAGTAAAATACATGCTCGTGGTAAAGTAAACAAAATAGACAAGGATGGGAAAGTATGCAGATTTAATATAATCATTGATTACAAATCTAAATATACATCGATGTGTTCCAGTAGTATAATTAAGGCCAGTTTACTATAGCCACTACAACTTGACAACTCCCATTAAATTCACTGTGTTGATCAATAGCTACAATTGACTGGTTGGTCTCAGGTTCATTACAACGGCAGAGAGATTCAATAATTATTTATTGTTTATTGTTCTCAAAATGTATCCGCACTCGTAAAAAAACTTACACCTGATATCCATATTATAAACTCACACGTTTAGCTGTAAAAACAAGTTTTGATAGTACCTACTGCATATTTGATGAACATTCTCCGCCTTTCCGGTGCAACCTTTGGTCGAAATCACAGTCAATGAAGCGTTGTGAGCACAAAAGCAAATTTGGAGAGCTGTTCTTGAGATATATTTACAAATGTTAGGTAACCATTTTGCTCGAAGTACTGGCTCGTTTGGAAAACTAAGAAACATAAACTGGGTACCTACAACCTCGCCTACAACATGATAAATGACATGCGGCAGTTAGTTATTTATATAAACCAGAGCACAAACCGATCCGAAATTATTAGGTACTTTAAAATTGCAAATTTAATAAAATTTGAATTTGGTGGAAAACTGACGGTGACAGGACCCGCGTTTTCATATGTCAAATAATGTCGGCCAAAATGTACCTTCACGGGAACCTATCCACGCGAGTGGCCTCTATCTGTGGCAACTTCCGTCTACAAAAATTCTTACCCCCTCTACCATTATATTTCCTCCATTAGTTTTCTAACTCAATGGTCCGCGAGGAGGCACAAGTGATGGAAACAGAAATAACTGAACAGCAATTTTTGAATCTGAAACGACATAACTTGATAAGGCTTATTTTAAATTAGGATTTCGGGTAAACAGTAAAATGTAATTAAAAAAACTCGCCAGTAAAATGACATTACTTGACTCGGCAATTAAGGTACTCGGCCCCACGTACTTCAATATTGTGTCAATAATATGTCATTTTCCTGACTTTTATGTAAATATGTAACTATTATATGAAAATAAATGCCTTGGAAAACACTCACCAATGGTTATTTCCGTATCCAGTAGACTCTTAATTGTGCAGTCAGCTACACTTAAATACTTCTTTTTCTTTTCATAAATAGATTGGAATATTCCATCAAATTTTGCTGCAACATCTAGATCCTTATTGCATGCATGGATTTGTCCAAAGTCATAATTGATCTACAAAAATCATTTGATAAAAGGTTTTTATTTAATATCACCCTTGGTAAATCAAAAATAGCATGAAAGATGATAAACTAGAAAATAAATAAGGAGATTTACCAATTCTGGGGCAATGTCAGTGTGAATTATTGGCCATTTAACAAAGAATTCTGAGATAGTCGCTGTATTGTCGTTTTCAATATACCTCAGAGGGTAGGATAGTCGCCAGTGATTTAGAACTTCTGATTTCGGTTAGAATTTTTTGTTAGCCATATCTGGCTATCAATTACACATTGCTCGTATACTAAAAAGTGATAATGTAAATCATATTTCAACAGTGCAATCTTATTTAGCTTACCCTCATGGGATGTGCTGTTAGTTTTCTCAGGAGAAAGTGATTTCTCAAGCTTCCGAATCAGATGCAGTTTATTGCGATATTTTTCAATAAGAGTGCCTCTTGCTGGCTCAGACTTATTTCTCCTAGAATATTTTTTTTGAATTGGTTCAATGAAATATGTCGTTTTCTTCTCTCCTGGTAAAATGTTGACTAACTTTTCAGAAACTACTCTAAAATGGTGATGAGTTAATTTTCCTTTAAATCTATTAAGGAGGGTTGTCACTAATATGTCCGATATTCGGTCTCTATCGTTGTTTGTTAAAGTGTTATTTTTTCCTTTTTGATATAAAGCGTCACCAAGAAAATCTTTTCTTAAAATGGCATTAACATCAATGGCTTCAATACAGCCTGTTGGTAGAGACGATAGGGAAAAGTCTGAATCGATGGTTACTGTACTTGATGTCTCTTCTGAAGCGGAATATGACACAGCAGATGGTCCAGGTAATGGCTCGGAGGAAAGCTCATCAATATGATTCTCTAAATTTGTGTTTGATAAAAATATCAAAGGTACATTCGCTAAACCATTTAAGTTGCCAAAAGCCAAATTTTCGTTACTTATATGATAGTTCTCCTTAGACTTTTTCTGAGGAGGTTCTTCAACATGATCCTAAAAACAAACAAAAACTAAATAGTTGGTCAACCCTATATAAATCAATATATGTTACAGGGTGTTACTCCTCACCTCTCCTTTAGGACACCCTGTATTATGTAAAATGTAACATTTACAACATCGTCCACATTTTGGATTTCTATTGGAGAGCAACTAGTCCTATTATCGAGCCCATTATCCAAACTCTTTATTCCTCTTTTTAACCTTATTCGATCACCTATACTTGGAACAAGCAGACCAATCTCTTCGTCCGTCAGTAATTTTATTATTTCAATGTCTGTTATCTTCTGTTCTATAAATATTAACAAACGTACAACTAATTTAAAACTATATACAGGATCCTGCAACATTGTGCCGGTCTTTCCTAGCTCATACCTGGTAAAAAAAATGTAAAAAAACCTTTTGTGCAAATGTCAACCATAGATTGTCGCGCATCTACAGAAATTATTTTTGAATATACAGGGTGTCCAATTTCTACGGTGTCAATAGAACTGATTTTTTTTAATGCAACACCTTGTATATTTTTAATTGTTTCAATGTAATTTTTTAACCTCTGCATGGAAACCTATCCACTTTTTGATTTTATGTCAATGTTGCCAAAGTATTAATTTTTTTCTGAACAATTCCCCACACCCCAATCCTTACTTTGATAAATCGTAGCGACCTTGATTTAATCAATAATGTTAATCTGAATAAAATGCAGCACTTTGGTAATGAGACAGTAGGATTTAGTGATACAGGTTGTTCACAAAAAAATAGTAAAATTTACAAATTCTCATCACAATTTTTTTTTAAATGAAACTATATACTTACCACTATTTCTCTATTCGATAGTCTTTTGATTTATCAAAGTGGGGCTGGCTTCTAGAGAATTATTCGGAAAAGAATTAATAATTTGGCAACATTGACAAGAAAGCAAACAGCGACTAGGTTGCCATGCTGAGGTTAAAAAATGACATCGAATCAGCTAAAAATATACAGGGTGTTCCATTTAATAAATTCAGTTGTGAATTGACACCGTAAAAATGGGACACTTTGTACATTCAAAAATACATTTATGAACAGCAACTCATAGTCTTTATGATGAAGAGCACTCGGTAAGATTTTTTTAAAGAAGCCATGTGAGGCCATAGCAACTTTAGGATACATTTTTCTTAAACTTACGATAACTTGACTTCACATGGCACGCGCTGGCATCACAATTCATTGTGAACCAACCTTCAATTATTTGTAGGTCATGTGCACCTGGTATTCTACTAATTTGATCTATTCAATACATAAATGAAGGAAATAAGAAAATAAATAACGAGAACAATTACAATAAAGGTTCGAAGTGTCTTCCTAGACATTATAAGCAATAACCTAACCGATTTCGTAATTAAATTGGACGGCGGTATTTTTAAAAATGTGACAGCTGTCAATTGTATCTACTACTCATTTGAACTACTCAATAGGTTGAGGTGTTTTTTTTTAAAATCGAACATAGGGAAATTACATTGCATGCAAACTCCTATGTTCGCATTTAAAAAAAATTCACTGTATATCCATATCAAAGAATGCCTGCCGTGATTATAGAATCCGTACCAGACTCTTGGGGAACGGCTACAAGTGACAATGGTTGGATGACCAATAAGGTTTTCTACGAGTATGTCGGTAACGTTTTCTATCGATATTTGCAGAAAATAGGAACAAAATTTCCAATTATTTATTTTGTTGATGGTCATACTACACATATGACCTTCGAACTAAGTGAGCTTTGTACTAAACTGGATATTATTTTAATAGCATTATATTCAAATGCCACCAGAATTCTGCAACCAGCCGATGTAGGTGTTTTCAAACCCCTGAAAGACGGTTGGAAAGCAGAAATTTTAAATTTTAAAAGGGAGAATCCAATGAAGGTAGTAACAAAGGAACTCTTTGCGCCGATATTGGATAAAGTTCTGCAAAAAAACTTAAAATCAGCTATTATATAAAATGGATTTAGGGCTTGTGGACTATTTCCCTGGTCTGCGGATGCTATCGATTACTCCAAATGCTTAGGGAAGGTTAGAATTCTAGAGAAAAATTCAAGTGTAAACCCAAACGAGGTGAAAAATGAAGATGCAGCCATAACTTTTACAGAGTTTAAACAAATAGTGTCGATGAAGAAGATTGACGCTTTACATCGGATTTCATTTGATACAGCTGACGAAAATGAAAAGCTTTTAAAACTAATTCTGCAAAAGTTTGAAGTAAAGAGCTCCCTGGTTGAAATCACTCTTGATGAAAATGGCGTTTGTCGTATTGGGGATATGGAAATTTACTTAGAAAGCCAATCCAACAGCGACACTGAAGATCACAATAAAATAACAGTTGAGGCAGATGTTCATCCTATTCCTAGACAACACTTAAATACTACTGAACAAGACAACACTGATGACGTTCAAATATTCAACATAGAGGACATACCTGTCATTTTAGATGAAAACCTTCACAATTTCTTACCTGTTGACATCATTGAAGAAAAATACCAAGTGAACGAAAACAATACCAGTTTTCTACAAACTTCGACATCATCTATAGGTGATTACTTTGTGCATCCAAAGACTCCCGAAAGAAAGGGAAAGAAACGAAGCGAAAAGGTGTCGTTTGTACTTACGTCAAGCTCCAGAAAACGAGACATGTTTTCGTGCTAATTGTGCTCTTAACATTATAACACTAATGCGCCGTTCTATAGAGAGTTGGCAACGTACATTTCCCATAAGAGCAATGTTAAATGTGTCTCCCATTTTTACAAAATCATTGTCTGATATTGGAGTATGAAAGTAAGGTCAAAAGTGATCAACAGATATGCAGGTACGGCAAGATAGAAAGCTTTTTCAAAAATAATTAGAAATGAACTGGTAAATAATTTTTGTAAATTCTTTTAGTCGGGCACCGGCGACTTTCTACAAGGGGCCCTTATCAGTTTATTTATAATTATTTTTGAAAAAGTCCTCTATCTTGCCCAGCTTGCATATCTGCTGATCAATTTGACGTGTTGATCTTACATTCATACTCCAATTCGAAGACATGATTTTATTAAATCCGGGGACACTTTTAACATTGCTCTTATGGAAGTATGATGGGTTGCCAACGTCTGCAGTACGGCACCTTAACTAACATCATTTTGACTTTTACCTGAAAATTTATTTATGATATTTTGTTTCTAGTGTAGGAGGAATGGAATTATTGTATCGAGGTCGTCAACTTTCCTTACATTAATGGAACTTTGCGAGGAAATTTGAATTACCATTAGCCCGCGTTGTTTACCATATTAGCCTGCGTTGTTTACCATTAGCCTGTGTTGTTCACTGCCAGCGTGTTCTTTAAACGTGAAAGAAATCCAGGATAACTCATAGATCTTCTTTTGGATTGCGTCTCCAGTAGGTAGGTATAATATTTTATTAGCTATGAGCTTATATGCTGTTCTGTATCAAATTAACCAAGTAAATATTCGTGCTCCCTCATGAACGTGTATTCGCATTTGTTTATTTATAATTATAATAGCAAAATTGTTTAATAGATTAGTTTATGTTAAATAATAGGGAAATTTTCAGAACGTAATTAATAATTAGATTTATTTTAGATTGTTCGATAAATGTCAGAATTTGAGGAGGACAAATGTTACATTTTTTATTAAATTTGTTTGATAGGTACTCTCACACCATTAGTGCGTTGTGGGCGGGTGCGCCATCTTGTTGAAACCAATAGTTTTCAACTTTTGTCTTTTTATGTGCAGTACATGATTTTGTATTCGTAATAAAAAGTGCTACTCAATTCAGTATACAGGGTGGTGACTTGCGTCACGCATCATAGGGATTTCAATGTAAAATTCATAACATGCGATTATTGGCTCCCCAAATTATTTTAGAGCAAAAATGTATTAAGATTTTTTGTAGAAAAAAATTTTTTACGTCAATAAACCGTATTAGTTTTCAATTTTTTACATAATAAAGACGGAAAATTGGAAAAATAAAACCCGCATCTTTTTCAATAATCTGCGATGCGATGGAATTATCTAAAACAAAAAGATGTCCAGTTATCAATTAGCAGCAGTTCGAAATGGATTTTATGATCGACTTGGTTACTGTCTTGCAGTTAATGGTGACTTATTCGAACATTTATTGTAAATTATTATATTAGGAAACCGTTTTTAGTAATTTGGTCTTTCTTTATGTTGAATTCGCTGTTATAATACTTTTTGATAGAATTTGATTTGTTTTATAGCAGACATTCCATGGCATGACGGATATTGTAGTTTTTGTATTATAAAATTCCATGGCATCACAGATTATTGAAAAAGATGCGGGGGTTATTTTCCCAATTTTCTGTCTTCATTATGTAAAAAATTGAAAACTAACGCGGTTGATTGACGTAAAAAATTGTTGTCTATAAAAAATCTTAATACATTTTTGCTCTAAAATAATTTGGGGAGCCAATAATGGCATGTTATGAATTTTACATTGAAATCCCTATGATGCGCGACGCAAGTCACCACCCTGTATACATTTTTTAATTCGATTGATGTATTGTTCCATCGTTCCTTTTAAACGTGTTGGTGATGAGGATGCCGCATTAGTAAATATAAAAAACGTGTCTAAAAAAGATTTTTTCTTTAATTCAAATCCACATTTTTTAATGTTGTAAAAAAATGGAGATTTCTCCGAAAAGAAACGTTCAACAGTATCTTGTATAGTGGCAATGAGAAGGTGTTTTTATTTTTTGCCAGATTTTGTTGTATCTGTTCAAATAGCAGCAGAAATTAAAAACGAAATAGGCAAATTTCGATTATTCTGGCGTACATAATTTGAATTTTTTCGGTTTTTTTTTACAGCGTGATAATTGGGTGTCTAATGAGGTATGCGGGGTATAATGTATTTGGGGTTTTGGCCTTTAAGTTATGAAATTTATCAAACTTCGTGATCATGCCTGTTATCTTTAGGTGTTCACTATTCCAATTATGTTTATTTTAATTTGTAGGTAGTTGCATACATTGACTGAATTCCCATAAATGACATAGTATTGCATGAAAGGGGTCCAACTCTTGCATAGTCCAAGTCAAATACTCTTCCCGTCTAAGGATGAGCATCCCACTACTCACTAGCCCAAGAACCAAGATTTGCAGTTGTTACGTGCAGATTTCCTTTTTGCCTATTTTTTTTTAGATTTCGTTAATTTCCGCTAACACTTTGAGGTATTGTGTGTTGCATATTTAGGCAAGAATGAGTTAACATCTAATGAACAGTAAGAACTGTCGCATTTATGCTAATTTCAACCTTGGCCCTGAAAATTTATCTGTGCCATACGTTCTTACACGTGCTATCATTTTTGATAACAGTCATTTTGGGCATTCTTTTCTTCCTTTTCAAGTTCAGCCTCTGTAGGTGCACGTCGTGCTTAATAATACTAATGTGCCTCACATATTCGTCCCTTGTTTTTAAAAGCGAAAATGCATCCTTTGTTAATTTAACTAAAGCGCTACTGCTGAACATGTTTGAATTAGTAGCATTACTCATAGTTACCTTTCACACACACAATATCCAACAGAGGAACTTCAATTAAAGGTGTAACACATACACATACAATTAACAATACCAGATATGCTATACAATATATGATTTAAATAACTATAGGAGTACTTTAGGATTACGTAAAATTCGTGTTATAATTAGTGAATTGTAACTGGTTTGACATTAATCTACGTCCGTTTATATAGCTTCGAAATGACATGCCCCTACTAAAATGAAATATGACACGTGACCTTGGAACAAGTGGACCTTGAAAATGAAATATGACACTGGTTCTTGGAAATGAAATTTGAGCCAAAAAACCGAGTTGACCTTGAAAATGAAACATGATACCCAAAAAAAAGTGACCTTGACAAGGAAATTGACACTGCATCTTGCAAATGCAATATGAGACCAAAAAAATGTGTCCTTGAAAATGAAGACCCCAAAGAAAAGTGTGACCTTGAAAATGAAATATGACACTTGGGAATGAAATATGAGCCCGAAAAAAAACCTTGAAAATGTAATTTCACACCAAATGAAATTTGAGCCAAAAACAGAGTTGACCTTGAAAATGAAACATTACACCCCAAAACAAGATCTTGAAAAGGAAATATGACACTGCATCTTGCAAATGCAATATGAGACAAAAATGTGTCCTTGAAAATGAAATAAGATCCCAAAGAAGTGTGACCTTGAAAATGAAATATGACACGGGAATGGAATGAGCCCGAAAAAAGTGACCTTGGAAATGTAATTCGCCCCCCCCCCCCCAGGCGACCTTGAAAATGAAATAACACGACCTTGAAAATGAAATACGAGACCAAAAAATAGGTGACCTTGAAATTGTAATATGACACCCCAAAAATGAAATATGACACTTGGCCTTGAAAACGAAATTTGAGATACCCCAAAAATTGACCTTTGGAAGTGAAATATGACACCCCAAAAAAAGTGGTATCGAAAATGAAATATGCCACCCAAAATCTAGTTTTCCGAAAACCACTCAATTATCTAAAATATTTGACCTTCAATCGTCTAATACACCTGCTAATGTGACAGTTCAATAACTTTACTTATGTGAGTTGACCAAATCCGCTTGTCGTCTAATATTTCGAACGTCTCAGATATTAATCAGTGTCATTCTCGGATCTCGTTAGCAGAAACGAGAAACCGTTGACTTCACAAGTTTATTTTCCCATCAACTCTTTGCTTAGGTCAACTGGTCACATCGACTTGTGCTAGTTCATTACCCTTATCATTTCCTCCCGCGTTGCTAACTTTCGCAAACCTATGGACATATATACGCGCAGCATTTCGTTTTTAGTATTCAGTTCTTACGCGAGTGACAAGTTACATCGAAAAATGAAACTAACAACAAACAAGAATGCCGGTGCTGGTGCTCCGAATCGACCTCTCAATATACTGCAGGATATTCTCCTGCAGGCATCGCAGCAGCCGGGGACAACCACGACCCCCAACGCCCGAAACAGTCATTTCGCTGGCAGACAGTGATATTGAGGAGGAGTTTGGGCGAATTTTTGAAAAGTAAGTACACATTAAATCGTATCTTTGCTTTGTGATTACATTATTGCAAACATTACTAATACGTAATTTAATTTATAATAGCATTACGCCGCCAACTGAAGCAGCCGCCACCTCAGCTGTTTGGCGGCAAAGACCTCAACATGCTGCGTCGGGAGGAGACAAATGCCGCCCAGGTCCCCCCTCAAAAAGCTGCAAGGGTGCAAGAAGTGAGGCCGCACCAGCAGCCGGCACTACCACCACCACCACCACCCACGCAACCACCTGTGCAGGCCCCTCAGCAGCTTCTGACACCACCACCACCGCAGCAGCATCGGCGCCCTGCAAGTGGACGCCGGCAGCAGCAGCAGCCACCACAGCCGATGATGGTCCCGCCAACCAATCTGCGGGAGCTAAAACACAACACTCTACAGTAGCTGCAGGAGCTACATGCGTGCTATGCTCAAAGCGAAGCCATGCTCTCAAATAGGGCGGCCCAATTGCAGGCCGACCTATTTGAGACGAACGGTAACTTGGAGATAGCACGCTCGAATCTCAGAGGTGCCGAAGAATTCATCAGGGCAATCAATGACCTAAACGTGTGAGTGTGTGTGTGCGGTTAATTTTAAGGCTAATTTTAATTTTTGTAATTTTAGGGTTTTGTATTTTAAGTTTTTGTAGTTTTAGAGTAGATATTTAATAAGTTGTATAATTGTATATTTTTGTAGAATAATAGTACTAGTAAGTATATATTAAATAAACAATTAATTGTTACTGTTTTTATTATTCATAGTAGAGTGTGCATATCTCCACTCACGCATCACTTAGAAAACTTTCATTTCAGGGACAGCAAAGGGGAATTCAAGTTGGTGTATTTCAAAACGTGATCTGCGTGTTCTGTAGTACTTAATTCAAAGTGCCACTTCAATTGGAATACATTGATTACTATGGAAAGTGATAAACAAATTGAACGGTATGATGAAAGTCGCGCTCGGTTTATTCAACGACACTTAACTTGGCAGGACCTAGTAAATTGCTATGCTAAATCGTGCGTTTCCATGATACCTATTCGCTCATGCAGGTACAGGTGTACACACAAGAATAGAAGTGAATAACTAAAAGATCATTTATTGCCATATATTTCAACCATCATGCAAATTCAAAGTCAATAGAATCTAACACAATAGAGCATACATTTGAATTACGTCTTAAGGTATTAAAAAAAAAATGGTAACTCCTTTTTTTTATCTTCATGCTCAGTAAAAACACCCAATAACAAAAGTGGCAATTTATAAGAGTCCATTTATTACGATATATATTTCAACCATTCAATAATATCGAACAAATTTCTAATTAATTTTTAAAATAAGCAAGGTATATACTGAAAAGCACAAATAAAAAACAAAACAAAAATCTAACATTATAGTCTGGAGGATTAGCCAATAATCGTGCACTTTTGTATAGAAGCATGAATTTTTGTATACGACTTACCTATACCCCAACAGTAATTTTAAACATTAGAGCCACTCTGGCTCTCTGCCAGGGGGGGCGTAGGGTGTCCATTTCAAAATGGCGGCTTTAGCAATGGTACCCATTCGGTAATACCTCTGCCAACTCGCAACCATTAGGACTAGAACAAAATTAAAACACGGATTTTGTTGAGCACCATTTTAGCTAAAAAAATGTTATATTGATATTTACCCTAAATGTATTGAGTGTGGCTTTTTTGGGGGTTACGCGTTAGTGCGCTTATGCCACAAAATCTTAGCCAGAAGGCTAACCGAATTACCACTTCACCCCCGGAGTGCTACTTAACACCTTGACTCTCGAAGCCCTCATAGAGCAGAGGAGGAGGGCGTGCAAGCCGTACAGTTTCCTGAGCCTTGATTTGGCGAAGGCATTCGATACGGTTTCACACAATTCGATCGAGCGAGCACTCCGACGCTTTCGGGCGGACGCCAGGTTGAGGAGTTTCTTGATGGAGGGTTACCGCTCTGCGAGTACCCGGATCCAGTTGGATTCCGGGGAAACCGGGAAAATTGACCTCCTTAGGGGAGTCAATCCAGGTGACCCTCTGTCGCCGATCCTCTTCAATCTGATGCTTGACGAGCTTGTGGTAAAACTGGAAAGCCTTCAATTAGGGCTAAGATTAAACGACCATCTGCAGGTCTCCTGCCTGGCATATGCAGACGATGTGGTGATCGTCAGCGACACGTTTGGAAAGTGCAAACCCTACTCCGGACCATGACCGATTTCTGCGAGCGCCGAGGGCTCAGCCTGAATCCAACCAAGAGCATAGCTCTTGTGGTGCCGGGCAAGAAGATCTTGTTCTCCTCGACTGGTACACGCTTCTTCGTGAAAGGGGTTCCTTTGCGGACCTTGGGAGCGGGGAGCTGTTCAAGTACTTGGGGGGCAAGTATTCTGCCCAAGGCAGGGCTGGCCCAGACAGCGCCTCGTGGAGAGAGGAATTGATTCGGATAGGGAAGGCCAGACTTAAACCAGCTCAAAAGCTGGTACTCATTAAAACCTATCTAATCCCTAGGATACTGAATGGTCTGACGTGTACCAAAGTAGGGAAGACCATGTTGAAGAGTGCGGACCTGGGTCAATAACGCTTTCGGTGCGACAAAGCAACAAGCTAGGAACGAATGGGGCAACAGGTTGGAGTCATCGTACTCAGGCGGGAGGTTGAGGCAGGGGCACGACTCAGGTCATAACGGGCATTGGATCGACCGCCCTCCAATCTTCTGGAGCGGAAGGGATTACGTCTCGGCCGTCCAATTGCGAGGGAACCTTCTTCCCACAAGGGGAATACCATCTCAGGCAGCGTACTCATTCATCGAGAGTTTATGCGTGTCGTTATGTGAACAAGGATGGAATCGATGACTGCAAGCACGAGGTCTAGCGGTCCCATAGGCACGCACCACATTGGGTCGTAGTTCATCGGCACCAATCCGCAAGTTAGTCCTAGGGCTAAGTACCTAGATGTTTTTTAATATGTTATTCGAGTTTTACCTTATACAAATATTTTAGCAATAGTTTTGTCCCCTTTTTACAGATTTTTAAATACTAACATTTAAATTTTAAATTTTTACTTCTTGTTATTTTTACTTACCGGACTTTGTTCCATTATTTTTTTAATACAACACACAGACCGTGGAGGACTTTCTGTCCACATACGCGCGGCTACCCACGGCAAGTGAGGCTTATCTTTAGGGGAACGGGCCCCCAAACACCTAGTCCCGAAAACGACCACACATATAAACCCACCAGCTAGACTAGTGGGCTTCTTCAAGTGGAAGATGTGTTAACGTAGCAAGTACTTAAATTGCTTTGTATTGTTTCTCAGGAAATTAATGCCCTCAAATGGATAACAATTATGCAAGAATGACACTTTTACTCATTGTGATAATGATAACTTGATGCCCTGTTTTCGAAAGTAAATATTTGAGTTGAGATGTCATTACAAAATACATTCTCATTAGCACTAATTTTAATTTCAGAAACTTCCTCCTAATGACATATTAGCGAAGTATAAATACTTCTTGAGGTGCAAAACCACTCAGTTTTGAAAGTAATTCGTTCGTTAAGTAAGTTATATTCTAAATAAACAAAAACAGTGAGTTGTTTATCAAACAAAATTTTAAGTGATCAAACTCGCCAAGTCGTCTACAACGTGTATAAATTTCTGTTAACGCCGTATTATTATATTTTATATTACTAAGATATAAACTAGATGGAGTAAGTGTATGCATTGGTCCTTCGAGCCGGATATGAACCAGCGACCTATGGATTAACGATAAAGTCCATTTGAACGAAACCGATAGGAAAACCATGTTGTCGAGTGTTACGGGTGAGTCTTCGTTCTGTTGAAAGAATAATTAAAGAAGGAAAAGAAGCTGAAGAATCTGACAGTGAAATCGTTTTCAAAACATCTGAGAAAAAAAGTGCTCGCAAGTCTCCTGTAACCCAATTGGAAGATTATTACAAAACCACATTTCGCAACATAATTTACAATTTCCATAAAACTAATGAGTGCCGCGTTACTCTGGCTTGTTTAAAGAAGAAATTGGCAAGTGATCTTGCCTGGCAAGGAGGACGAACAGCATTGCATAAGATTGTGAAATCTTTAGGGTTTCGTTGGAAGGTCACAAGAGATAAAAGAAAACTCGTTGGAAAAAAGTGATATTCGTGCGAAAAGGATCACGCACCTTCAGCAAATTCAAAGGTATCGCGAGGAAAACCGGGCAATAGTTTATCTAGATGAAACATATATGCATTCTGGTCATACGGTTTTAAAAAGTTGGAGTGATGAAGGTACCAAGGGATTATTTAAAAATACTTCCAAAGGAGACCGTCTAATAATAATTAATGCAGGCGGAGACATGGGATTAATACCCAATGCTGTATGCATTTTTAATTCTGGTACGAAAAGCGGCGACTACCATGACGAGATGAATGGAGTTAATTACGAAAAGTGGATAACAAATCAGTTGATTCCAAATTTGCCACCCAATTTCGTTGTGGCAATAGACAATGCTCCATATTACAATGTCAGGAATTATTGCAGTCGATTGCAACACAACCCGGTGATTCTTGCAGATGGTTCACAATAATCACGTCATAAATATTTTATTAAGTAAATACAGAGTAAAATTTTAATGTAAGATTCTTTATTAACATAATCTGACAGTGACTTTAACTATCTAAGCCGACTAGTTTATCTCACACATCTTCCATCCCCAATTCAAATCTAATCCTAGTTTGTAATCGCTTACCCTAGCTAAGATTGATTATACAATAAAAACACCTTTACCCCACTACTTTTTAAGTACAAACAATGGTTATATTTTAAACGTAAAAAACCGACTCGTATAACAAATGTGTGGAAACGTTTGTTTGTACAGGTACCAATTAAGTTTCTACATAAATTCTCCTTGGATGAAACTGTCTGACAATTCCATAAAAATGTTCTCTTCAAGCTTTCCATTTAAAAAAAAGCGGTCTTTACATCCACTTGGTGTATATTTCCAAATCACGTCAACCGCAAAAACCAGCAGAAGACGTAGGTACCTACATTTACGATTTTCGCTACCGCTTTGTGAGTCTCATTCAAATCGAATCTTTCTGCAGGTGTGAATCCTCGAGCGACCAACCTTGTCTTGTATTTTGTGAATTTTTCTGTAGCATTCCGCTTTCTTGATAATACCCATTTGCAACTGGTCACAGCATGGTTGGTTGGGCGTTCGATAAAAGCCCAGGTTTCACTGAGTTTCAAAGGGTCCATTTTCCCACCCTCATCCATTGATCAGTGTCGTTTCGCTTTGCAATATCCCCAAATTTAATTGGAACGTCATGAATGACTGACATATTTAGCGCAACGGCAGAAAAGCATTCACTGAACTGGCTCATTTCCAGATGGTAGTTTATGATCATTGCTCACAGTGGTTTCAGCATTATATCTTCCAATTTCCACAGCTCCGCCTGGATCGGCGGACCCGATTACATCAAAAATTCAAATTCGAAAGTATGCAACACATCATACAATGTGCCTGCAGTTAAATACGAAACGATAGGATACTAATACCACAGATTAAAATACTCCAGATATATCACGCCATGTAAAAATATGCTGCGCGAAATTTGGATTTCACCGCCAAGTGTGTTAAATC